ACCCGTCTGAATGTGACATTCATACTGATGGGGATTGCTGTAGTCAACTGCTTGTGATGTAGTAGAGTGACAGATCCCTTAGTTTATGCATAAACACACACATTCTTCTTCTAATGGAATGGTAATGAGAAACATCTAAAGCAATTTAGGAAAAGAAAGCCAAATAAAATTAAAGCTAGGCAATATAGAGCTAATGTACCCTAAAAATTAATCTCATGAATTGGATACTTGAGACAATTTAATTTTTACTAAGTTCATTACGTACATGTAGATGATGCGTGCCTTTTAGCTCTTAACAATGATTTCCACAATGAAATGTTCTTTGTTGTACATAAGCATCACGTGACATTGATTCCTCTACATATATGTGGCAAAATACTTTATATATTTAGCTTTATTGAACTATTTGCATACATGTGTTGGTAAGACACCCAAGTTTGTACGTGCACACACATCTATATACTATGCTACTGCTACATGTTCACTGGTTACACAATGAAAAATTATATTTTATACATACACCCAAGAAATAGCCTTCTTTCCTCGACAATAAATTTATTAATATATGTAAGTAATCACTTTCTCATTATCAAATAAATGAATTAACAAAAGCCACTATTGGCATCAAATGCAAAGGAAATCATAGAATGGAAAGAGTCGTGGTGTGGCTAGTCGGTGACTCTAGCAAAGCCCTCACAAACGACTCTTCCATTTGACATAGCCATCTACTCTCCCTTGCGTGAAGAATACTAATTAGCTTTATGGGGGAAAAGTTATCTGCCACCGTTTGGATTTTCTTCCTCTGTGAGTGCATTGCATGCATTTCCTAGCTGTCTTAATTGTCTTCTTCTCAAATTTAAGCCTCTTTCTGGTGTTTTCTGCTGTCCAGCCTATTTTCGAGCGGTAAGCACTGTCCTTCTCTAATGGCTGATAAACAGACAAAATCATAGAAAGGGAGAGAACCTGCATATATATATGAGGGGGGAGTAATATTATATGTACACACAGAGAAAGAGAGAAAACTTGAGATAGAGAGAAGAGAGGTCAGAGAAAAAAAATGGCAGTAGATTTAAGGCAGGTGATGGGATCCATACTGACATTTTCTATGTTCATAATGCTTGGGAATATGGTTAAAAAAGACCATATCGATCCATTTCTGGTATGTTTTTTCTAAAATTTATTATTCTATATTCAACTCAATGATTGAGGTGTGGCTATATTCCACAATCTATACAGTGTCAGTTTACTAGATCTACACACAAATACTCCACCCTCTTTTAAACTGAAGCTCATAAATTAATTCTATTCAATTTATCCCTTTGATCTCATTTTCCTGATATTGTGTTTTCTTAAACAATATCGCTATTCCAGAGCTTCTGGCCAACAGTTTATGGGATAATATACTTGGTCTAAAACTGAAGAGTGTAGAATAGAAGCCAATTTTTTATTTTATTTTTTTCCTTTCATTACCTGATGGATAAGATTAGTTTTAAAGTTA